CTCCATATTGAACAACACTCAGAGGAAGCACTGAGGATGGCAAGGGCAAAAATTGTACTCTAGGTGGGGCATTTCAATGTCCATCATCAAGAGTGGCTCGGCAGCAGTACAAGTGATCGAGCTGGTCGGGTCCTAACAGACGTAACTGCTAGACTGGGTCTGCAGCAGGTGGTGAGGGAACCAACAAGAGGGAAAACCTCTTGACCTCATCCTTCCTAATTTGTCAGCTGCAGTTGCATCTGTTCATGACAGTATCAGTAAGAGTGACCATCGCACAGTCCTTGTGGAGACGAAGTCCCGCCTTTACATTGTAAATAACTTTCATCGTGTTGTGTGGCACTATCACCGTGGTAAATGAGGCAGACTTCACACAGATCTAGCAACTCAAGACTGGGCATCCATGAGGCATTGTGGGCCATCAACAGCAGAATTATATTCCAGCACAATCTGTAACCTCATGGCCCAGCATATCCCCTACTCAAACATTACCATCAGGCCAGGGGATCAACCCTGGTCAATGCAGAATACAGGAGGGCATGCCAGGAGCAGCACCAGACATACCTGAAAATGAGGTATCAACCTGGTGAAGCCACCAAACAGGACTACTTGCATGCCAAACAGTAAAAGCAGCAAGTGATAGACAGAGCTAAGCAATCCTACAATCAACGGATCATATCTAAGCTCTGCTGTCCTTCCACATCCACTGTTAAATGGTAGTGAACAATTAAACAGTTCACTGGAAGAGGAGGGTCCACAAATATCCCTATCCTCAACGATGGAAGAACCTAGCACATCAGTGCAAAAGATAAGGCTAAAACATTTGCAGCAATCTTCAGCTAGAAGTGCCGTGTAGATGATCCATCTCGGCCTCCTCCAGTGGCCCCCAGTATTATAGATATCAGACTTCAGCCAATTCGATTCACTCTACGTGATATCAAGAAACGGTTAGAGAGACTGGATACTGGAAAGGCTAGGGGCCCTGACAACATTCCGGCAATAGTACTGAAGACTTGTGCTCCAGAACTTGCTGATCCCCTAGCCAAGCTGTTCCAGTACAGTTACAACACTGGTGTCTACCCGACAATGTGGAAAATTGCCCAAGTATGTCCTGTACACAAAAAGCAGGACAAATCCAACCTGGCCAATTACCGCCCCATCAGACTACTCTTAATCATCAGTAAAGTGATGGAAGGTGTCATTAACAGTGCCATCAAGTAGCACTTGCCCAGAAATAAGAGATAACAAGGTGACAGCTGGATGAACACAGCAGGCCAAGCAGCATCAGAGGAGCAGGAAAGCTGACGTTTCAGGTCTAGACCCTTCTTCAGAACTTGCTCAGAAATAACCTGCTCAGTGACACCCAGTTTGCGTTCCACCAGGGTCACTCAGCTCCTGACCTCATTATAGCCTTGGTTCAAACATGGACAAAAAAGCTGAATTGCAGAGGTGAGGTGAGAGTGACAGCCCTTGATATCAAGGCTGCATTTGACCGGGTGTGGCATCAAGGAGCCCTAGCAAAACTGGAATCAATGGGTATCAGGGGGTAAACTCTCTGGTGGTTGGAGTCATACCTGACACATAGGAAGATGGTCGTGGTTGTTGGAGGTCAATCATCTCAGCTCCAGGACATCTCTGCAGGAGTTCCTCAGGGTAGTGTCCTCTGCCCAAACATCTTCAGCTGCTTCATTAATGACCTTCCCTCTATAAGGTCAGAAGTGGGCATGTTCACCGATGATCGCACAATGTTCAGCACTATTCGCGACTCCTCAGATACTGAAGCAGTCCATGTTCAAAGGCAATGATATCCAGGCTTGGACTGACAAGTGGCAAGTGACATTCGTGCCACACAAATGTCAGGCTATGACCATCACCAATAAGAGACAATCTAAACAGCGTCCCTTGACATTCAATGATGCTACCATCACTGAATCCCCAATGATCAACATCCTGGGGGCTTACCACTGACCAGAAACTCAACTGGACTCACCACATTAACACAGTGGCTACAAGAGCAGGCCAGAAGATAGGAATACTGCGGCGAGTAACTCACCTCCTGACTCCTCAAAGCCGGTCTGCCATCTACAAGGCACAAGTCAGGAGTTTGATGGAATACTCCCCACGTGCCTGGATGAGTACAGCCCCAACAACACTCAAGAAGCTTGACACCATCCAAGAAAAGCAGCCTGCTTGATTGGCACTACATCCACAAGCATCCACTCCCTCCACCACCTATGCTCAAAGCAGCAGTGTGTACTATCTACAAGATACACTGCAGAAATTCACCAAAGATCCTCAGACAGCACCTTCCAAACCCGGGACCACTTCCATCTAGAAGGACAAGGGCATCAGCCATATAGGAACACCAACACCTCCAAGCCACTCACCATCTTGACTTGGAAATATATCGCCATTCCTTCACTGTCGCTGGGTCAACATCCTGGAATTCCCTCCCTAATAGCATTGTGTGTCAAACCACAGCAGGAGGACTGCAGTGGTTCAAGAAGGCAGCTCACCTTCTCAAGGGCAACTAGGGATGGGCAAGAAATGTTGGGCAGCCAGCGATGCCCAGATCCCACAAATGAACAGAAAAAAAAGCTCCTTAGAGAGCACCTTCCAAATCCAGGACCACTGCCATCTCGAAGGATAGGGACAGCAGATGTATGGAACACCACCATTTGCAAGTTCCCCTCCAAGCCACTTACCAACCTGACGCAGAACTAAATCGCTGTTCTTTCACTAATGCTGGATCAAAATCCTGGAACTCCTTCTCTCATAGCTTTGTATGGGGTACCTACAACAAGTGAACTGCAGCAACTGAAGGAGGCAGCTCACCACCATCTTCTGAAAAGCACCTAAGGATAATTATTAAATCCTGGTCCAGCCAGTGGCACCCATATCCCGTGAATGAATTTCAAAATAAAATGAAGTTCCTCATCTTTGGAACTATTCCATGGATCTTTTCTGTTCTCTCCCTAATACTTTAGCAATTTTCCTAAAGTGTGCCATCCAGAACAAGGCACAGCAAGCATGCCAGCTGAGGCTGAACCAGTGTTTTATACAGGTTTAACACAACTTCCTTTCTTTTGCACTCATTCGCCTAATAATAAAACCCAGGATACAGTAACCTTTATTAACCAAGACAAAAACAGAAATTGCTGGGAAAATGCAACAGGCCTATCAACATTTGTGGATAAAAACCAGAGTCAATATTTTGAGTCAATTTAAGAAGAGATTTAAGATGTATTAACAACAAGAAAACTCAACCTTGTAACAAGGTTTAAAAAAAGCTCAAAAGATGCTATATTCTATTTCTTGTACCTCAGAGAACTGAATACTAAGATCTATGGAATAAAATAGGGGCCTTTGAAATGTGGATGCTACAATATATGCTAAAACATCCAATATTCAAAAACAAAATAACTCTAAAAGATAATATTTTAAAAAGAAAATAACAATATTTTTGCCTTTTGATCAGAACCAAAAAGCTATAGAGATCTCTTCCAAAAGGTAAAATGTAGGTCAGCAGAAAGTGTAGTTGACTGACGTCTTAGAATGGCTGGTTGTGACAAACTACAGCTGATATGTGAGACTGGATTACGATGGACGAGAAAGGCAAACCATGACAGCAAATTTGGCTGCTTGCAAAAATTTGTCACTGTCTTCCTGTCCGTTGCAAGATGACATCAGGTCAAGATGTGATCCTCTTCAATAGTTCCATCACAGACTCCATGTGTGTGAAAACTGGATTCAGCTCAGGCTGTGACATTGCATTCTTCTCCATCTTCCTCAACATAACACTCCACCCCATTATCAACGAAGCTTCCCACTAGAGTGGAGCTTCTCTACCAGATAAGCAGAACACGATCCTTGAAGCTTTCTTGAAAAAAAACTGCAATATCCTCAGTGAATTGTGGAATCTTTTATCCAATACTCGCCAGGTTTTAGCAAAGATTTGCAGCTCGGGTTGTGGGTGAGGTTGTTGACTTGCTCACCGAGGTGGCTTGTTTTTGTTCAGATGTTTCGTCACCATGCTAGGTGACATTGTCAGTGAAGCCTCTGATGAAGCGATGTTGTTCTACTTCACTTGGAATTTATACTGTCTGGGAAGTAGTCAACAACCTCAATACTCCTCAAACTGGAGAAGAAGTATCTGCAAAGGGTACCAGTCGTTTGAGCATCTCTAATAAACTCAGATGAAATTGCAACACAAAGGATGGTAGGTGTGAAACCCGAACATCCTACTGACAAAATCAGAAATTGCTGGAAAATTTCTGGAATTGCAGGTCTGGCAGCAACTGTGGAGAAAAGTCAGAGTTAACGTTTCGGGTCGAGTGACCCTTCCTCAGAACTGAGTTGCTGAGCTTTTCCAGCAATTTCTGTTTTTGTTTCTGATTTATAGCATCCGCAGTTTTTATTTCAGATCCTACTGACAAGACTCTTCAAACACCACCTGCCCCACCAATGATAGGATGTGCGGATTCAGTAATCGATTATTGAGTCAGTTCGGGATACACAACGCCAGAGTGGAAGAACGTCATCCAGCTTGGTACCGAGGGACTGTCTAAACAATAACTGGAACTTTTGACAAAAGAAAACATGCATTCCAAGTAACACCATCAGGTGTTTAAGTAACTTACTTAACAATGCGATCCGAAAGAGTAACAGAACTACAGCCCCCAAACTGAGCACACAACTAGCGTATAAATGTCAATCACAGGTGCGTCACACACGCGCACGCTCAGAGCCCCATGAATAGGTGAATCAGGGAGAGCGGCTCCGGGCAAGGCTGCCATTCGATGATTTCAACATCCAATAGTGGAGGAGGTTACAGTGACCTGCCTTCCACCCTCATTTCGTTTCCATTGGTTGGGGAAGTGAGATGTCAATCACAACATCATCTTCGGCCAGCAGCCAATAAAGTGGGGAGTCACCACGAGCAGCGCTCTTTGCCTACAATTGGTCGAGAGAGGTGTCAATCACCATGTTCCATTGGAGCACCAGACTGTCGGTCTGAGCTACAGCTCGCCCTTTGATTGGCGCGGGACAGGATTCCCTGCTTGCAGCTGGCTTGTCATTTATGCGTAGAGCTAGGTTGAGGACAGCAAGGCGAATGATTGAGACACACTGCTTGGGATTAACTAGAGGCACTTTAACAAGCAGCATCTCAACCGGACCTATTCGAGGGAAAGAAGAGGGAGAGAGGGGAAATAAATCACTCATAACAGAACATCGTTTGGGAAAATAACCAACATATTCTTGAACGACCTGGGATCTCTGGTGTGAAGATCTTCCTGCATTTCGAAACAATACATTTGTAGTAATTAATATCAACAACGCTACTGTATTAAAGCGATTTCACCATGTCCTCGTCGTCACAACAAACGTCTCAAAGAATGCGTCGCAATGGCTCGCCGACTTCGAACCGCCTGCAGCCCATCAGGGCCACCGTGCCCTTCCAGCTTAGACAAGGCAATAACAGCCCGACCCGCTCCTCCTCCTGCAACGGCACTATTAGCACCAGCTCACCGGCAACAGCCACAGCTCACTCTACATCAACAGCAACTGCAACCACCTCGACCTCAACAGCAGCCACATTCACCACCCCCAACGGACAGAAACTTTCCCCAACATCATCGCCCACCTCTTCATTCTGGGTTCCGGCTACAATTGTCGCCTCTGACGGACGGATGAGACATAGGCGGTCATCTGACAGTAGGAGCCCACCTGAAAGAAGGAGCCCTAGCTCTCCTGTTTATAAAGGTATAGAAGGATGCCAAAGAGACAGGCTATTGTTATTTCTATTAAGTTAAAAGAGTAGAACGGTACAATTACGCGGTGTATTTTTCAGCTTATTTACTACTCTTTTATCCAAATATGTTTACAAAGGTTGGTACTTCTAAAAAGATTACAAGTGTATTGAGTCAATACGTTTAGAAAAGGATAATTGGGATTTTTTCCACCAATTGATAAAGAAACGTCCATGTATTCGTTAGTAAAGCTTCATAGAAGCAATACAACTAGGGAGATCGGTATTGTTTAAACGTAAGGTGTAGGAAATTGCAATTGTTTATTTTCTGCGTGTGATTAAGATACAAAAAAGAACTGCAGGGATTGGCGATTTTTTTTGTTAATGCAGAAGGGAATGTAAATGACATGGGGCGGGGGGGGGGGGGGGGGGGTGGTGGTGGTGGTGGTGAAGCTGTGTGGGCAGGCTAGGCAGAGACCCAGAACGGATTTTTTTTTCTCTCTGGGACTTGATCTACTACATGATGTCAGCTTTCCATATCCATGTATGAAGCAATAATAGATTGTTTTATTAACGATGATAAAGGGCACATGAACAGTTTTCTTTATTAACTTGCAAAGACAAAATCTGAGAACAGTTCGTTTCCTTCTCACTTTAAATAATCTATCTTCTATGTTTCAGAAACCGTGCACTTTATATTTACACTGTCAAAATGTAATTGATAGCAAGTGCAAACGGCGGCACAAAGTGCATTCATATACATTGTAAATGCCAACAGCATTTCATTATTTGCCCAGTTGTTTTGTGTCCATCATTTCGAATTCCATTTGCCCCTTCCAAATTCTGATAAACAGCAAATTGAGTTTTGCCTTATATTAAAGACTGTAAAATGCTGTAACTTGGGGGGCGTCAGGGTGGGGTGGTTGTGGTAGGTGGAGAGTGGCTGAGAAATGGGTTGCCTTTTTAACCATTATTTATAAAGAAGATTTTCACTTCCCACCAGTGCTCGTATTTTGTTACGAACGAAGGAAACTATTGCTTCAAAACAGCAAGAACAATATAAGGTATTTGAAGAGGTCAAATAAAGCAATACATTTTAATTAAAATAAGGTACATTGTGATACAATGAGAAAATGACGTCTGCATCCTGGCGTGCTTAGTTTTGCAAGGAGTCACGTCTAACCACCATAAATGGCTGCTATTTTTGTGTGCAGGTGAACTTTGAAGCTGGATTGTCTATTTGCAGGCAAAAACGTTCTCGTGTTATATTCCGCTCGGTATCTATGTTTATGTGCACAGCTCTAGATTTGATTAATGTCAACTTTCATTGTATTGGGTATTTATTTTAACCACTAGATTAAAATTTCACCTTTTCCCAATGGCTTTTAGGTTGTTTACGAGCCAGCTGCAGTAATGAAACCAAGGTATTGAGGTTATGGCTTAGTATTTTACCTCCAGGTTCACGCCTGCTGATGCAGAAACTTAGATAATTTTCCAAATGGGAAGGGGGAGGCGAAGAAAGACATGAATGAAATGAAAACAATAGTTTTAACTGTCTCTGCCCATACACATGCGCGCGATTAAAAAGCGGTTCTAAATCTGATTCTAATCACTTGCGGCCTTTCCAATGTGTGCATTTAAGTAGGAGGAGAATATATTTTAAATGGCGATAATGATATTCAGTGCCGGAGAATGGGCTGCTTTATTGCAGAGCTGCCGAATGTACTTGGCATTCAGACAGTAACACATGGACCGAGGGCTTGTGGCATTTTAATTCATTCAGGGGCCGTAGCAAAGGGCGACCCACAAACCCAACTAAAACGTTAAGCTTGCATGAAATACACGCAGTTGTGGACTTTGCTCAGAAAAGCCTAACTATCCAGTTGCATTTTAATAATGATTGAAACTGTGAACAATTTTTACATAAATCTGTAAAGATTCCGATCTCTTAACTTGGTCAACTTCTTATGGTTACCAGATATTCCGATTTAAGGAGAAGTCGGTGGCTTGTTCGCTTTCCAATGTTTACATAACGCGGTTGCTGCCTGACCTGGTTTCCATGAATTGGACATTAGTTGTCTCTGATTTCCTGTTGCCCTTCTGATCTCTGCCGAAATCTCGTGCAACAATCCGAGGGTTTCCAAAAAGACACCTTGTGCCGTACATCTTTTAACACAATGACCAGTTTCAATTACCGTCAGCCATCCTGTGCAAACCACTATTGCGCATTTGATGCTTATTTTGTAAATACCTGTATACAAATTAGTATTCTACGCAGCGTTCTCTATTCGCAGATCTTTCCATGAATGTCAACACCTGTATTAAAAATAAATGCAAGTCATAGATTCTCTCGGAAGCTGCAGCTAGCTGTCACATTCGGTCTGTGAGCAAGGTGGCGGGCCGGGAGCCACTGAAGGAAGGCAGTGCTGAAAATGGGCTTCCTTGTGTGGGAACTAGAGACTGTGTCTGTCAGGGTTTATTGTAAACGAGCTGAACCATAACGCGACGAGTTCAGGTATGGAACAATAACAAAGTTGCTGGAAAAGCTCAGCAGGTCTGGCAGCATCTGTGAAGGAAAAAACGGAGTTAACGTTCGGGTCCGGTGACCCTTCCTCAGAACGGAATGGATCAGGTATGGATCTGTTCCAGTTGGTTGCTTTATTTTAGGAAGAGACAACCGTTTAAAGATCAGATTGATTTCTGTTTGCAATCTTTGGAAGGTTTGCATTTTTTAAAAAAAAAGTCAGATGAGATCGTTTTACCGGGATGCCAACAATATAACTTCATTCCTGTATTTTATACTAGGACGATTACATTTGCTCCAGCTTCATTCTCTTTCCTGGGACGAGAGTACCATTCCAGATTTCTGTTGAATATTGCCGTTGCGTCAATGTCTTTTAGATATTTCGGTGTGGAGGACTATTTGAGCGCTCGATCTTGTAATATTGCTCGGAGTTTGGCTGAAATAAAGTATTTATGACTGGGACTAGTTTTTATGTACGAATCCCAGAATTAAGACACTTTTATTTTGGTTAAAATATTCAGGTTAAATAAATAGAATTTTTGGATTAAAATTTCCTTTGGGTAGAAATACATGCATATTTTGGTTGGACATGCACAGTGGAAAAAAAAACTTGTAACTTGATTTTGTAAAATAAATTCGAATTGTACTTTAATAAGCTCATGGCCTTGACAAGTGTCAGTTATTCTGAACAACAAATGGTCTTTTTGGTGAACAGATAGGTGGCAAGCAAAACATATCTGTTCACTTCGTCTTCCTCCACCCTGTCTTTAGCATAAATAACACTTTCTAGTTGCTATCAGTTGTAATGAAAAGTTGCCAGACTGAGAAGTTTATGCTTTCTCCCCACAGATGCTGCAATTTCTGATATTTCACAGTACCTGTCAATAGATTTATAGTCCAGATTCCTGTATGCTAATTTGTGATTGACAGACCTTGTCATAATTGGGGTAATATATCATAATTCCATTGCTCAGTAATAATTTGGCCTAGTATCATTTACAATCAGAGCAATGTATATGGGAAAAATAGAAGTTTCCAACTCTGAATAAAACTCATTGTCTTATCCTGTCTTTCCCAGCTGTCTGCTGGAATAACCCAAAACTAACCTCAGTGTTCTGTTCTCTCCCAGAATCACGTATCATCCTTTGCTTTGATCTAACTTTACTCTGAATAACATAACAGTATCCTTCTCCTCTACTCCAAAGTCCCAATAACTTTAAAGGCATTTCTCATAAGCTTTCTCTGTAATGTCTTGGTGATTAATTTTAAATTAATTACTTTTTTGCTGATTCCCTAGGTAAAGATTATTTAATCTATCTCAAATTTATTTGATAAAGATGTTTGCATAACTCTTCTCTTAGCCTTTGTGTTTGCCATTGTGTCTGGTATCTTTAATAAGTATAATTTCTCATCCTGGTGAATCTGTTTAACTCTTTGTTTCTGAATTCAATGGCCCTTCTGTAATTGTGTGGCTACAACCAATTACAGTATCTATCTAATATTTAGACTATATTCAAATGTTAAAATTACTCCTCTAGTTAATATCCCTATTGATAAAATCTAAAGTTTTATTGGTCTTTATAATGCATTCAGTTTTCAGCACCAAATCTCAGGAAAGAATGTTTATCCTAGACGGGACATAGTACACATTCATCAGAACTATACACTTGGGGCCAAAGGGTTAAATTCTGAGGACAGGTATCATTAACATAGTTTGTTTATCCTTGAATTTAGAAGATTGAGGGATGACCTACTTGAGATTTTATACAGTAAAAGTATAAACTAATATACAGAGAAACTAAGGAGAAAAACACTTCTGGGGAAACCAGAACAAAAGTGCGTAATTAAAGTTAGATGAATTAGGAGTGAACTCAAGCAGCATTTTCTCATCAAGGATTGAAAATTAGAAGTCATCTGTAAACATGTAAAATAAAGCATTTTGAGGGGGGAAGAAAACAAAATATTGGAGTAAGCACAAAATGGAATAACACACAACAGTGGTGATGAACGGAGCCGTCTAGGGATTCAGTGCAGAACAATGAAAGTTTGGGTACTGCAGAAGGTACAGTAGTTTTGTATATTATCCACCTCCTTAAGTCTATTCCATTCTACTAGATTACATATGATCTGCATTCATGGATTCTGGATTCATTGAAATTTTTAATGTTACACACAGATTTTTTTGTTTAATAAGGCTACAGATGGGTGTATAACAAAGGCAAATAAATGGAGTTTTGGCACAGATCTGACAATGATGTAACTCAATGTCAAACAGTTTAGAGCTGAATGGCTGATTCTTGTCACGTGTACCTGAACCTTTTTGGGAATTATACATTTGAACCCTGAGGTATCTTTCCATTATGTGTCTAGTAATTCCTTGTTTCTTTCTCACCAAAGGGCTCTACATCACACTTATCTATATTCAATTAGCAAAACCTGTAAATATTTTCTTCAAGTGCATGGACAATCTCTATTAGTGTGCAAACCCTT